GACTTGGCCCTCGGCCAGGAGAGGGAAGAGGCGCGCCGAGGCGCTGAGGGACCCCGCCTCCGCCCCAAAGTCCGAGCCCAGGCCCGAGGCCTCCCAGGGCGCCGGGGTCGAACGGAGAAACCTGCTGGAGCCGCTGCGCACCTGTGTCCGGGCGGAGCTACAGCCGTCCGCGCGCCCCGCCCTTCCGTGCGCGCCCCCGACCTGCCCGCCCCCGCGCCCCCCAAACGTGCGCGCCCTGCCCGGCTCACCCCACCCGGAGGAAGCGGGTACTAACGCCCCTCCGGGAAGGCGGAGCGCGGGCGTGGGGTGTGTGGAGGGCCCGGGGGTGCAGGAGGGGGCCTCTCGGCTCGCTGGGCCACAGAGCTTTGTGCAAGTTCTTTCCTTCGGGACAGACGTCCGGGGATGAAGCACGCGCCAGGCGCAGAGGGGCCGCCGGTCCCAGATGAGGGGGAGTGCTCAGACACTGGGGTGCTGAGCAGCAAATCAGACGGCGGGGCGCCTGTGGACAAGGCGCGGGCGCGCGCCCGGCGGCCAGGCAGACGCCGACGCTCCGGGGAGGCGGAGGGCCAGCGTGAGGCCGGAGGGTGGGAGGAGCTATAGGGCTTCCTAGGAACCGCGCGGGCGCGGCCGAGCGCGGTGGGCGGTGCAGGGGGCGGGCTCGGATTCGGAAGGGCTGTTCTCGAGAGTGCCTGAGGCGACGTGGGGTTTCTGCTCACTTTGTGGAGTGGGCCTGGGGGACAAGGGAGGGTGAGGGTGGACGTTAGCAAAGGGAGGGGCGGGCGCCCAGTCGCGGCTGTGAGGTGGTGGTGCGGGTGGGCTTGCCGAGAGGCAGGCAGTCTGGCAGGAGCTTTGCGAGGCAACAAAGCAGGTGGGGACACCAGGGAGAACCTAGCTCTTTGCCTCCTGCCTGGGCGCTCCCGGGCAGGTCGCTGACTGCTGGCGGCCACTAACCTGTCCATCAGGTGCTTACGCTGCTCACTCAGCCTCAGGGCCCACTGGGGCTCCTTGGAGGAGCTGCGGCTCGGTGCGGAAGGGGTGCAGTCAGGACTTCTTCCAGTTCTATTGGACCCTGAGCCCAAGATGCACCATCGTCCAAGGGTCTTGGAGGCCACGGGGGGGGGGGGGGGGGGGGG